AAGCAGCAGAAAATGGTGAAGAAAATGCAATGTTTAATTTAGCCAATAGATATTATAATGGAGAAGGAACAGAAAAGAATTTAGAAAAAGCCTTTCATTGGTATCAAAAAGCAGCAGAAAATGATGATAAGGATGCAATGATTAATTTAGTCACATGTTATGAAAATGGAGAAGGAACAGAAAAGAATGTGGAGAAAGCATTTTATTGGTATCAAAAAGTAGGAGAAAATGAAGTTAAATTAGTATGTAATGAATGCAAGCAACTATACATTGATTACCAGTGGTGTCAGCAATGTAATACTAAACGATTTCAACAAGATTTTTCTAAATGGACTAGTAAAAATGAATTTGTTGATAAATTTATTCAAGAAGCACAATTAAATGCTAAAAATAGTTATGAATTTTTAGAGTGGATACCTTATAATATATTGTCAGGTATTAATTATTATGATAAAGGAGGATTTAGTGAAATTCATAAAGCTATCTGGTTAGATGGACCTATTTATAGTTGGAATTTTAACAAACAACAATGGAATAGATGTAATTTTCAAACAGGTTATGAGGTTATTCTTAAAACACTTAATAGTTCATCAGACATAGATAGTAAATTTCTGGATGAGGTATATTATTTATATTTAGTGGTAATTTTATTTTTTTATGCATAATGTTTAACAATTTTTTTTATAATTTGTATAGTGGAAATATTATTATAATTGTCAGAAAAAATCATTTTCAAAATTTATTCAATTCTTTGGGTTTACCCAAGATCCAAATAATTTAAATTATATAATTATAATGAGTTATGCAAAAAAAGGAAGTTTGAGAAAATGTTTATCTGATATAATTAAATATAAGTGGCAAGACAAGTTAAAATTATTGAAAAAAATTATACTAGGACTTAAAGTAATTCATGAATCAAATTTAACTCATGGTGATTTTCATGATGGCAATATTTTAATGTCAGATGATTACAATGAGTTATTTATTATTGATTTAGGATTATGTAAACCTACAAGTGATTTACAAGATTCTGTCAATAATAAAGTTAATGAAATTTATGGAGTTTTACCTTATATGGCGCCTGAAATATTAAGAAAAAAACCTTATACACCAGCAAGTGATATTTATAGTTTTTCAATGATAATGTGGGAATTTACATTAGGTATCCCTCCGTTTAATCATGAAGCACATGATTGTCACCTTAGCCTAAGTATTTGTAAAGGGAGACGTCCTGAAATTATAAAAAATACTCCAAAATGTTATATAGATTTAATGAAAAAATGTTGGGATTCAGATCCTTCTAATAGACCAACCATAATAATGCTTGAAAATATTTTATCTGAATGGATTAGGGGTATTAGTGAATATTATAGAATAAACAGGGATGGAAATTATTTATTTTTAGTACTTGGTATTAATAATCAATTTAAATATGATATGTTGGAATTTGTAGAAGCAGACAAAACTTTAATGCAAGAACAAGCAAATACTTCTATTATACAATATCATTTACAAGCATATTATACAAGTCGCAAACTTACTGAAATTTTAGTTCAAGAAGAGACTCAAGGTCTTGATTGTATAATTGAAGATTAATAATTCTATTATTTATCAATCATCACTCATGTTACCCCAAATTTTTTTTATTATAATATCCATATTAAAAATTATATAACATAGCATAATCATTAAATATGGAGTAGATTAAAGTTGGCTAAAATTAATTTAATAAGTATAAATTAATGATTTTCAAATGTAATTACAATGTCAAAATTTTTATTGTGTTAAATCAAGAATTTTCATTAAATTCCATTTAATACAGTGTAAACAAGTATAAAATCTAGCATATTTATAGTTTTTCAAATTCTAATATAATGAACCACTGAATAGAGTGTAGAATTTTCTGTCAATGAATTCCTTCACTACGGAAAATTCAGTTGTATTTGTAAATACCTTATCGAAGGACAAAAATGCATTATGACATTGATCTGCATGTCACCACAAAAGTTTCTATTTTAACAAGTAAACGTTAAACACGTCAGGGAACTTTAAGCGCTTTATTTGAAGATTTTGCCTTCAAAATTTCATCCGGGATCTGGTCCAGAAGAGCTCAGGTCAGATCTGAAATCTGGCAGGGTATTAGCAACCAGCACTTATTGCATACAATTTTTTTTACTAATTTTAATTAAATAATCTTTTCGTTTAAAAGTTGATTCTCAGTCACAATTTATACTTCGAAACTAAATCCTTCTTTGGGTATAGAGGCTTGGGCGGTTGGCAGAAATATTACCAATCAGCACGTCCATAAGGGTAGATTTAAGTGTTATTACTTTCTACAAAGATGGACCACTAATTATTTAGATGGTTTCAAAATTATTGGGTCTTAAATTTAACAATAGGAAATTTATTTTAAGGAAATTGATTTCAGATTTTTTTTTCAATGATAAATGGTAATTTTATATAGAATATAGGCTTTTAAACTCTTTATTTTGAATTATATAAACAATTCTTGACAATTAATACATCTGGTTTAATATTTGATTTACATTCTTTGTTGAAACTTTTTATATCTCAGTACCATTACAAAATTTTATATCCTAAACTTATTTTTCTTTGGATATGATTTTCGTATTCTTTACCATGTTGCCATATTATTGTGATTGATATTCGTGCATTGTTAATAAGACGATGTACAGTAAAATTTTTAATTCCTAATCTTTCTAATCTTTCGAAATTGGTTCGGCAAATAATTTGTTGCATAAAATATTTTTTTATTCAAATTTTTTATTCTTCTTATTTGAATAAATAATTCTAACAATATAATTTTCTTCATTAATTACGTTGATTTTTTCTAAGTTTACATTCGATTTTACTTCATCAGAAAATCATTATGAATGGCGCAGTAATAATAGTATAATATTCTGAATAATTATAAAAAGAACTTTTTTAATCGGAATGCTATGGGTACTTTGAAAATTTATGCGAAAAAAAGGGATCTTGTTAGTACTACTCTGTGCTCAAGACCATGAGCTTGTAAGTAAATATTAAACCACTAAAAGATTACCTGATTGTTTATCGTGGAAAGGTTAAAAATAAAAAAAGGAAAGGTCGATACTTAAAAAAGGAAACTGTTCAAAAACTAATTTTATGTTATAAACGTTAATGTTAACGTTATGTTACATTTCGTTCTATCATTCCGTACGAAACGAAACTTAAAGCAAACCCATACCCACCCATCACCAAAGGATGTTATTGTGGGAACAATAAAGAATAAAACTGATTTAAATTCAAATATTTTAGAAATAAATAAAATAAATGACCTGATAAATGCTACGACGACGAAGTCACCATCAAAAATATATATATATTTTTATTTTATCGTATTTTATGATTATTCTTTAAGCTCCCTTCGAAGTTTTAATGTTAACTTATTATACTAACTAGCCCGTAGGCCTGGGCGTTACCCAGGTTCGTCAACGTTGATGAAATTTTAAGGTTTGGTTTATAAGAGGTTAAATTAGTTGTTTTATTATAATTAAATTGTAAGAATAATTATTTTTAAATTAAAATTTATATAAGCTTAATATTATTAATTCACTATTATAATTTAAACTTTAAACTCTATTCTTTTTTCTATTATATAAATTTAATATTATGATCAATTTTTAAATAATTTAATTCTAATCATCATACTGAAATACTAACCCCAATAAATACTAATCC